TTCCGTATTGCTTTCAAAACTCTGATTTGAGACTAATAAATAATGTTTGAGATTTAAAATGTTGAATTTGAGATTCTTTTCAAAAAAATAATTGGAGAAATTTCCTTTTTGTGAAATTTTACAATTTAGTAATCCTTTGAGGGTTAATCCCTTGATTGCCATGATTTGGAGTTAAATAGTGGATTAGTAAAGGAGACCTTATAATTTGGTCTCTTGGTTCTTACAAAGCTCACATCCATGGTATGGGTACCTGGCTAAGGCATTTTATTCCACTTTTGACTACAGATTTCCCTCTATTACAAGTAATTGAGATATTATTACTCAAACACCGCATCCTATGAATGTTTAAGAGTATAATCTCCAACATCACACTCTTACGGGCACTAAAGAGAGTAATATTCTAATACTGCATTCTTTTAAGTATTAAGGAGAATATAATCTGCACTTGACATCTCAAGATGTTAGAGATGTCATATAGACTAAACTTCTGGGTAAAGAATGAAAAAAATGCTCCAATAGAGAGCTGCGTTCATGCTTGAAGAGTGTCAAATGATAAGTGCTAACAAGGATAAAATCTTACGAGGAGTACTATTCTTACCGAATCTGATTTGTTAAGCGTCATCGAGGTGAAGAATCTAATAAAGTATACTCACACTTCATTTGTATCGATGCAGAGTATTATTCCTATATTTTTAGGGACAGATCAGGAGAATAATAAGAGATACACCAGTAGACAAGAAAGCCTGACAAAGGTTGCATTCTCTAAGGGGAAGTATTCTAAAGAAAGCTGAATTTGATTTTTCCGTCAGTGTCAAAGGAATAATTCAAAATTCGATTCCCATAATCCTGTACACTTCCCACCATAAAGATTAGGATGCCACTTGGGCTACCCAAAGAGAGTTTTAAAAAAGGTTATTATGCCAATTGTGTCATGTAATCCACATCACCATCAATCTTTATTATTATTATTATTATTTTTTGGCTTTTATTCCTTGGAATGGTGCGCATTTCACTGAACGTTGATTCATATCAAGACACGATAAGAAAACTAGTATATCAGATTAGTTAAATGCTGTCTAGTTGAAATTGCTGGCTACCAATACAATCAATTAATTTGGATATGATATCGCTTGTAGCTTTGTGCCAGCCTGTGATGTATACGCACGTGGAAGCCGGGTCCATCAGAACTTGCGTCCAGGCTGAAGATGAAGCCTAAATAGTGTGGAGTTTCAAAGCACGCGCAAGTTAATTAATAAATGTAACCATGAACAGGGGAAGTGGAGAAAGTGGATGCTTTTGAAGCCACGAGGGATTGTCTGAGATATGTAGATTAACAGAATCCAGGGACGTGGCAACAACTGAGAATATGATGCATGCTTGCGTTGTATGAGCAGGGGAATATAATGCATGTGAGAATCATGCTGTGTACACGTGCAAATATTCTTATAACACTCGAGTGTTGATTTATGTATGCATAGTATAGAATGGATGTCATGTTGCATATTTGTTGGGAGTTTCTTGGTGGGCACTACAGACTCATACATTTGCCATCGTTTAGCAATTGGAGCATGGCAGAAGGATGTAGGAATTTTAATCGCGAGGCATTGACCTCGTCATGGATTGGGTATTATGAATTTCTGAATCTTGGCTAGAAGAACTAAGGCATCTATTTTTCCTAACTATAGGTGAAGGTGAGTTGAGTTAGGCGAGACTTTAACTAAACTAGGAATGTCTCTCTAAATAAATAGACTAGTCTATAAGTTTAAACTTGAGTTTTTTGTCAAAAAAGTTAGACCAAAATTAAATCAAATCAGGTCATACACCCCTGGCTATTAGCCTATTATCAATATTTTAATATTTTAAAAATTATAATATTGCATATGTATATATCACACACACAAGGGAGAGCAGGGAGCGATGATAATTAATTAATACAATGAAAAGTGAATTTTTCAAAAAAATTGAATAATTCAGTTTAAATTATATTTTTTATACATACAAATATTTATATATACAAATATAATATAACAAGGGAAAATAGTGATAAAATTACACTGAAATATATAAATGACAAATAGGTTCTTTAAAAAATGTAATGCTCTAAAGTCCCCAGCTATCTTTCTGACATTAATGAGTTTAGATTAAATAACTAAATTATCCTTTTTTTAAAATAAAAAATAATGGTATTAGTAAAAATTCATGATTTGTAACTAGTTATTTATAGAACTTGAATTTCAATGATAAAATAATTTTATATAAAAAGTTATGATTTCTTATTTAATTCTTACAATTTACAAGAAAAAAAATTATAATTGCTTAAACAAAAGTTGTGATTAGTTATTTTTACAAACTTAGATTTCAATAATAAAAGAAATTTTACATGAAAAGTTATGATTTTTTATTTAAATTTTACAATTCAAAATATTAAAATTGTGATTATGTAAATAAAAGTTATGATTGGCAGCAATTTAATTGTTCAATCTAAAATTATTAAATTTGGAGAGGTATCTAAAAACCTTAAAAGAAATATGACATTTCCAAAGACTTTATCATTATTTATATATTTTAATAAAATTTTATTGCCGTTCTTTCATATCACAATGTAAACAAACACTCCAATAGACCAAGATGATAGGTTTTAAGTAAGTAAACACGACTACGCACGTTTCAACTGGATCGGAGTTGCAAAGAGAACATTGCTTCACTTTCCATACGGCCACTCTAGATCCCCTCACAAACATAATAAAAAACAAGAATTTGTCTTCTAATTTTTAATTTCATAATTAAATTGTTGAAATATTGTTCATGAAAAGATGAAGAGAAGTAGCATAAAAAGTGGTAGTAGAGAATCAAGGTCCGTCGCGAATCCCTCAATCAAGCTAATTAATAATATTTCATATTTGACACGGTGCAAGATCTCAAGCTAGATATTTCTCCATGAATATCTAGTTTTAGATGAAAAGATCAGATGAAAACTATATGGGTGATGAGAAAGATGACATGGAGGGGCGTGGGGGGGGGGGGGGGGGGGACCTATCTATCCGATGCAGGCAGTGAAGACCACGTCATAAAAGAAGCCACTTTCCTCAGCGTACCCAACAAGATATAATTGACAATGCCTAATGGATGCATACACGCCAAAATTCATCTCAACCTTATCAGGTGACATCGTTTTCTTTGATTTTTCCCCCCCCCCAACTCAAAATCTTTCGTCTTTTCAGTTCACAGCCTCGATCGCTGTAGCTCACAGGAGATAAACTGATAAAGTCAATTCACTGCTTGAAGATAACCGCAGATCCAGTCAGTTGCGTCAAGTCTCAGTTTAATTGGTCTTTTAAAAAAATGAGCAGTTTTTGTCCTTATCAATAACACACTGTTCACAGTTTCGTTCTCATATCAAAACGTAGAATTTAGTAATGGGTTCAGACAGTCCATTGGGCTTGCTGCAAGCACAGGCCGAAGCCTCATCTCCCATCGTCAGGAATAAGATACTATATGATTCCCTACTTCAAAGAGTCCGTTTCAAGCAACCCCTCAAGTTAGCCGAGGATTAGGACCATATGTATCTTATATAGTAGAAACATAAATAATATTTTATATAAAATTATTATTTAAAATTAATGGCATTAGAATTATTTATTTCATTCAAAAAAGGAGAGACCCAATTAGGATCTGGTAGTACAAATATGAATCTGACAAATACCAAAAATTTCGCACATTTATTTCTTTGTCGGTATATATGCTCAATCTCAACTTGCTACTCCTTATGTAGTAGAGAATGGATCTGCCCAATCAAACAGCTATTGACATTTACAGAATTGGTATCGTGGGTTAATAAATCCACAGTTAGCATATAGTCAACATCTAGCTGAACCTTTTTGAAACCTTACTCCCACGCCATGTTTAACCCATCAATCACAGTCCATAGTTCTGCATGTAAAGGGGCACACACTCTAACGTTGCAGTAGCATTTATGGATCCATGAGCTGTCAAGGTTATGAAGTAAGCATCTAGCACCCGCTTAGTTATTGCTACTTTTGCATGCGCCATCTCAATTGAGTGTCATCCAATTTACCAGCGCACATGTTCCGACTATCTACTAGTCTCCCTGCAAAGAAGCAGTTTGAAAAAATAAATTTGTCCAGGCATCTCATAGTTGCCAACAAACAAGTCCAAAAGTATAAGCCCAAATAGGGTTCATATTATTATTATTATTATTAGCCATGCTTCCTAGTAGATTTTGTAATATCCATTTCTCTAAGGGTTCATTGAGAAAGTGATTCAATCTACTATGAGGAATGAGTAGTCTCCACACTTCACAAGCGAAGCTGTATTATTTGAGAACATGATCAATAATCTTGCTGCACATGCCACGCTTCACACATAGATAATTATTAGCCATACGCCTTCTAACATGTTTTGCATTAGCCATAAGAGTTCCCCAGATGGCTAGCCACAGGAACAAGTGCACCCTTGGGACATTTTCATGCTTCCACATCACCTCTCATTTAGCATCCTAGGAATTCCAATCATCTTCATTCCTCAATGATTAGCTCATAAGCAGATTTCACCTAAAATAACAACATTGGAATTAAAAGATTAACAAGATAGTTTATAAAATTAAACCGTTAAATTAAAATTTTACATAAAGTTAAGAAGATGGAAGTAGACTTCTTACCAAAATTAATATTATCTCCATTTTAAATTATAAGATACATTTGGGATAGATTTGTCATTATAAAATGTAATATATTTTTTAAAAAATTAAGGTTTCATTAAATAAATTTCTTTAAATATTACATTCTCTCTATTTAATAAGTAAATATGAAATTAAGGTTATTAAATGAATAATATTTATAAAAGTTTATATTTTTATTTTTAAAAATAAAATTGTTAAATATATTTAATAAAACTTATTAATATATAAAATTTTATTTAAAAATATCTTAATTGGACGCGCGTGGAAGTGTGCTTAAAAAATTTTCTTTCATCCCCTGCACTCTTCGCATCAGCCATTGAGGTTCTGTTGCATACATAGGATTCAAGGGCTCTACTGTTTTTTTCGAATAATGTGGAGTTGAATCCTAGATAATCATACATTACCGTCTCAAGAATCCCCCCAAACTCCATCGACATCAAAATTAGAAATCCAAATGCCGACAGGAAGGCCTTGAACCAAAACCTCATCCATCGTTTGCCCACCATTTCTTTGGGTTCATTTTCTTCCCCTGTGATTTGATGGGAAAATCACTGCAATCTGCGGCTAGGCTTCAGGAGTTATCGAGGATTGTCTCGTCCGCCAAAGCCCCTAAGCCCAGTAACGCTCTCCCCAGATTGCCGAATCGTGTTGCGACCCCGGCGGCTCTCAAATCTCAGGCATCGCAGCTGAAGATGGAAAGCTCCGAAGGGGAGCGGACTCGGATTCCACTCGCCCACGTGGTCGCCGATTGCGCCAAGCGGTGGTTCCAGGACACTCTTAAGGAGGCCCAGGCCGGCGACAGCAATATGCAGGTCCTGGTCGGGCAAATGTACAACTCTGGCTATGGTGTTCCCAGAGACCCTCGAAAGGTCTAATATCCCCCCCCCCCAAATCTTCTTACCATTCTGTTTCCCCCCTTCGTTATAAGAATCCTCGTAAACGTAGTTGAGATAGTACGTAGGCATCTTTTCTGGACTGTGGTTTTCTTTTGTCCATTGCAGCCAAGAGGATCCCTTTTCTATGATTACTTTGTTTTTGAAAAGAATGCTTGAATCGAATTGCTTATTTAAAGTTATAAGATTGTTCAGTAGAACTGGGCAATCAGATAGAGACGCTATATGTTTTCTTGGTGGCTTGCTCATATGGCAATGAAGCCCAGTGGGTCCGGTTATGTTCAATGATCTTGAATTTCTGACAACTGAATTTGTTATAAACTTGTTCTGCAGGGACATGCTTGGATTAGCAAAGCATCAAGGACCCGAAATTCAGTATGGAAAGCAAGCGAAAAGCATCCGGGTAATCTCTCACTCCTTTATTGGATGGATGAATTTTGGCCTCACATGCTGTGGTCACAATTTACTTTGTTTCCGTATAGGTTATAGAGCAAGTGACTCTGATTCGAATGAAAGGGAGAACAAAGACAGATAGAGTTGCGTTCCTCCGCAGTTTGTAAGTACAGGACTAGTGATTAGCCTGCGGAATTTCCTACTGTCAATTTTTTAAATCAAATTAGCTTTCTGGTATAGGACTGTATATCTTATTTTAATTATCACGGGTGCTTACTAATTATAATGTCCGCATCATGTTTGAAATCTTGTTTATATTGTTGTTCTTCATAGTGCTGCTTATTATGCTGTGAAAGGAAGTTGTTGGGTTTATTTTAATTGGAGTGTTATGATAACCTGAGATGTCAAATTGATGACCTATTTCTGAGAGCTCCGAGATAATGTGCATCCTGCTTCTAGAACTTAGAGCAGTCAGCAGCTCTTGCATAATGGCTTTATTATTATTTGCAAAATTGTTATTTACTGGCTCTATAGTTTACTAGAATTATATGAACATTGCTTTCATGACAAATGCAATTGCTTCCATACTTTTAAAATGTTTCTGTTTTGGATGTCAATTTTTGTAGTTATCTCGTACAACCCAAAATGGTGCCAACTTCCTTTTCACCTCTCAGTTTCCCACCATCTTGTCTTCATGACTACTTTCTTTGATTTGTGGAGTTAAATTCTGTTGGAAGGCATTGTTGCATTTAGATCTAGATAGAAAGATTGCAATACATTTTGAGAAATATCATTACATCAATGTGACACTTTGGTTGTGTATATGATTAACATTTTCAGAAATGAGAATTAAGAGACCTGGAACTCTTGTTTCTCCTTTTCCTTTCTGCCTTTGTTTCTTTGTCACTGCCGTCTCTACTTATAGTTACGACAAACTTAAGTTAGTTTCTATTTGATTCTTGTGCTCAGAGAATTTCTAAAATATTTTTGTTACATTTAAATTCTATTAAATGATTTGGAAAATGTTTATGATTATTGAAGTGATCATACAATTTTGAACAGTATATTTGGTTACTATTGTCTATTCTTGGGCGAAGTTTTCAAATTAGATTAGCACAATGCTTTTAGTTTAATGCTTGTAATCTGTGAGTGCACTCATGAGGCATTTAACATTTGTAATGATATTACGTGGTTGTAAGATCTATCCACTAAGTAAATTGTTTGGTATGTTCCTAAGAAGAAGCTTGGGCATTGATATGGATATGAGGCTTGACACATTGAAAGTTGATGGCAATTGAAACTTGGGAACATTATGTTAGGCGAAGAATGTTTTGCAGTAAAGAAGTATAAGTTGGAATGATTACTGATGCGAATTGCACACTATTTTTCCAAGATAACTGGTTGTTTAGATTTGAAATTTTATAATTAGTAGTGTTTCATGAAAATTAAAGTTTGTAGATCTGAGGCTAGGTTGCTAAAAAGCACTTGTGCATGTTATCATTGTAATTCCACAAACTTGTGATGAGCTTTACTTCCACTACTGTCTTATTGCTTGCTATTGATGCTGCAATCCTTGATGTGGGATGTGCCAGTCTCTTGCAGGACCAACAAAATTTTGAAACAATTTTTTTTTGGCCCTGACCTGATACAAGATTCTTCATTTTTTGCAGTGACTTGTTGGGCATTATTTTGGCATGCTGTTGTATGATATCCGGCAAGATTTGGTATTTTGTTCTCTTGAATTCTGTGTCTCATAATTTTATGTATTTTTACTGAGTCTTGTATATTGCCACTGCAAATGTAACTGTAGGCTACTTTGGCTGCCTTGTTAGCTCTCATCTTCTCTTAGTTGCTGACATGATGGATAATAAGAAAATTTTTATTTATTTAATTATTTTTTAAATTGAAGATTTGTTTTGGATGAAGGTTTGAAGGATGCTAGTTATACTCACTACATTTTGCAGCGGCAGAAGTGCTGACATGGTTGCTAAAGCTCTTTATGTGTATTTGTAAAATATCAATTTTTTTATATCGATGGATATTTATTTTCTATTTTTGCTTTGAAAAATAAACGTTGTCATACACCAAACTTGCAGCAATGGCCCTTATAGAAATTCCAGGAACCCCTGGTGGATGATGGGAGTTGACGAAGGGTGAAACTGAGTTTTATTGTTTGTGGTGAACGGTAATGGACGTGAATAAGAAAAGTTGGGAACAGATGTGTGCAATTTGAGATAGAAGGTTTGATATGACGAGAAAAGATGCTTGAGGGAGAAAGTAGGTTCAAGTTCAACGTCGTTCATTCAATATGCTTCGAGGGTATCTCTTAAAAGTTAAAACTTATAATAGGCCTTACCTTTCTCATTTCTGCTCATTTTCTGGGGCTAAAGTTCTCTGTTTTCAACGACTCAAGTTCTCAGTCGTCACGGTGACCTATTCGTACAATTTAGATGAAAATTTTTGTACTTTTGATCATCCCTTATTTCTTCCACAAGAGATGGGAACGATGAAGGAGATCTTTTGAGAAACATTAGACCGTTTGTAATTTATTTTAATTTATTGATGCACTTCACCAGTTTTATTATTTTTTTTAAAAAAAAAAAACAGAGCATCCCCCAGCCATCAACATCATTCTTGCTTGCCAAATGCCAACCCAAACCGAGTGAGTGGAAGCCACTCAATGACAACTCAAAAAAATAAAGAGGAGGGGGGGGGGGGGGGAAGAGTAAGGCTTTATCTTTATGCAGAGAAAACTCGAAGTTTCCTTCCAGAATCCAATTCCTTCCTCACTACTCATTTCTACTTATTTATACCCTATATCACCCCTCTCATATCCCCTCTCAACATCATTTGGTATCATTTTCTCCTTCATTGCCGTATTCTCCACGTTTCATCATCCTGAACAATGACAAACGTAAGTGCCCATCAATCTTTTGTTTGATCTCCGGATCTGTTTACTTCTTCAGAACCAGAGCAGCTGAAATGAAGTGGGTTTGTGTTGTGTTGTGAGGAGCAGGTGGTGGAAGTGAGAGTGGGTTTGCACTGTGATGAATGCATAAAGAAGATCCTCAAGGCCGTCAAGAAGATCGAAGGTACTTCAATTTTCCCTCAGGCCTTGAAATTATTGAGATGGTTATTTATGCGTATGTCAAATAAGATTATAGCAGTGTGAGTGTTGCGCGTGTTACAGAGATAGAAACGTATAACGTGGACACGGAGCTGAACAAGGTGATTGTGACGGGCAACATTACAACGGAGCAAGTCATCAGAGCACTTCAAAAGATTCGCAAGAATGCTACCCCTTGGGACCAACAACCTCAACCCACAACCGCTGAATAACTCTATTCTGTATTCTCGCTTGTTTATTATGTGCACGTGTCCTTTCATTAGAAGCAAAAGACTATATATGAAATGTTGACACCTATTCCAGTAAAGATTCACTATATCACTTCCTCCATTTTTGACAATTTTTCTTTATAGCAATTGACTATTTGTAGAGGTTTATATAGCTGGACCTCAGTTTTGTTATTTGTAGTCCTTAGCTTGAGCTTTATCTTCATGTTATTGATGCTGATGATATATATTCACACTGGTGTTCCCCATCCAAACTATAATACTTGGATGAAGCTGTTGCCTGACTTCGTGGGGGGAAAAACAAGCCATGACAATAACTTGCTTGGCACTGGTTTCAAATCTTCAGTATCAATATAAAATTTATAATAAATAATATAAGAACAAACGGGCAAAAATGTTCATAAAGCCCTCAGTCAAGAGCATCTAATAGACTAAAATGAAAAAAAAAAAGTAAAAATATTCATAACATTACTTAAATTGATAAAAAAGTGATCAATTTATTAAATTCTTTAAATGTTAATCATTTAGTTGATACCTAAATAAATGTTGTTAATTATTTTTGTTGATGTGAACTAAAAAAAGGATAAAAATACTCACAAAATTGTCAGTTAGAGATATCCAATAGCCTAAATTAAGAAAAGAACAGTAATACATATAATATTACTTTAGTAGATGCAACAGTAATCAATCTATCAAAATTCATGTCACATAATTTCTTTTCATCTGGTGGTACCGTTGATAAAGGTTTCAAACATTTCTGAAGCGAAAGCTTTTCAGAGAAATTTTTGACAATTAAGCACGATTTTCTATAACTTTTTCAACTGGGCATTGAACCCTCTTAGCATTGCAAATGAAGTTGGAAAGAAAATTAAGATGTGGGGAACTTCCTTTATCGATTCAGATCATTAAAAAGAAACTTCAATGGTACAAGAATTTTAAAGAAACAAACGATTTAACTTATTGTTTGGTTAAAACGACATTTTCTCGCCGTTAAAACTAAAGCCTCAAGTGGAGACTCATTATCATACAATGATTGATTAGCCTATGTAGAATTTCACCTAGGAATATTTTTTAGTTCACATAAGCAAAATAATAGTCAACTTTTGCTTAGGTGTTAGTTAAACAATCAATGTTTGAGAAATTGGCAGATTCATCATTGTTACACCTACTAAAATAATGTTATAGGTATTCATATATTTTTTCTTACTTTAGGCTACTAGATGTCCTTGGCCTATGATTTCATGAATATTTTTGCTTTTTTTTTAGTCTACATTAGCAAAAAAGAAAAAAGTCAACATCTACTTAGATGTCAACTAAACGTTCAACGTTTGAAGAATTTAATAGATTAGTTACTTTTATACTAAATTAAGTAATGTGATAAATTTTTTTTATCCTTTTTCTTATTTTAAACTACTAGATATTTTTGGTTGACAACTTCATAAATATTTTTGCCTCTTTGCCCATAATACAACTACACTATTCACAAATTTTGTATAATCTAACTTGACTGTCAAGCTTCATATATGATGCATGGAATGGAAGCTATTTAGTTCCACCTTGAAAGTTAATGGTCATTTCAGCAATTTTACTAAGTGCTGGGATTTTAATGACAAGTCATTAAAATTAAATATGTAGAAGCATAGTAAGTTTTGCTAATAAATTAACAAGTATATATTAATAAAATAACAAGTCCACTTAAAACTTGATTTAGAAACTTGGTTTATGTTATATATAATATTTTGCATTATATTATCAAGATGCATCATTGACTAAGTGGTTATTAAATTTTTGGTACCCCTTGGCCGCTTTAAGTATTTATCTTCCGATGGCCAATGCCAAAGCTTCGGCCCTGCCATGGGGGTAGTCCGGTTGCTGGCACCAACAGTCGGTGGGCTCAAGCAAGGTATTTTTTTAAAAAATAAAAAATAAAAAAAATAAAGGACATTGTGATCATTTCTATTGAAAGTATATTTTAAATTCAATCCCTTAATTGGGATTATTATACTAAAATAATCCCTATAAGAAATGAAAGGCGCTTATCTGATTTGCTAGTTGGTTTAATTGATAATCTTGGTAATTCTCTTATCTCCATGATTGATACGAACTTCAATGTCTTTTGTAGACATATCAGGTAAACAGCCAAAAAAATAAAAATAAATTAAGGGATAATTTTATCGTAATGTCTCTCTTTCTTGGTATTCCAGCAAACCGTAATAGACATTTTTTTTAAAAAAAAAAAATTAGCGTCCAATGCCAATGCAATGTACATAGTATCAAACATATTTGGAGAATGAATTCCACCAACCTCTTTGTTCCTCACCGGGTGGGCCTAAAATGTCAAAGATGTAGACAACGCTTGTAGCGTGCGCAAATCAACTCAGTGTTGCGTAGAGGAAACAACATATAAATTCATCTAACTTGTATTTTAGTTTTAATTATTTATTCTTTTAATTTTTTTAAAAAATAAGCTATAGGATACAACTATTTTTTTCACGTTCTTATCAAATAAAAAATATAAAATTGTGTAGATTATCTCTTTACCTTATATTTATTTTTGTATTCTCAAGGAGGCTCCGCCGAGAGATTATTTCTGTTGAGGTACCTTATATTTATTTTTCAAAAAACAAGATATATTACAGTAGAAATAAATAATCAATATTAAAATTTATTAAAATCTAGATTATTGAAAATCAAAGAATTTGGACTTATTGATTTTTTAAGTGATTTTTCCTGCCTAAATGAAAGAAGAAAAATTAAAAAACATGCAGAGTTTCAGATTTTATTACATAAAAATTTTAATGAACCATATTGTTGTAATAATTTCTCCATTCTTTTAATAAGATCTTGTTAATTATTTTTTCTAAAAAAATTAAAAATTGGGTAAGTGTAAAAAAATTATAATTTTCTAAAATTATCCTTAATGAGTAATAAAATGATAGAGATTCGTGGTAAAAAAAAAAACGTAGGACTTTTACTAAGATAATCATCAATATTTCATTAAAATTCTATAAAAAGTATTGTATTAAAAAGTAAGACTGGGATAAAGATGACGACATAAGAGGTGAATGTCTCACATCTCCCGTTAATCCGTTTCATGTTCTCGTTGGGCAATAAAAGCTGCGCTCGGAGCTCCGGAAGTTTCAAAAAGGAAAAAGCGCGTCTAATTCTTTTCGTGTCAAGTTCATCGTCATCTTCTGTGAGCATGAGGATTGGGATTGTGGGGTTTGGCCGCTTCGCCCAATTTCTGGCGAAGACATTTATCAGACAAGGCCACACCCTTCGGGCTACTTCTCGCTCCGATTACTCCCTCCTCTGCTCCCAATTAGGGATCCATTTCTTCAGGTATTTCCATCATATTCATGTATCTATTTATTAACATTTTCATTCACTTGTCCGTTTAATGCAGCGATGTAACTGCATTCCTCGACGCCGACAACGACGTCGTGCTCATCAGCACATCCATTCTTTCTCTATCAGAGGTTCTCAGGTCTATGCCACTTGATCGACTCAAGAGACCTCTGCTGTTTGTCGATGTACTTTCAGTCAAAGAGTACCCGAGACAAGTTCTATTACAAGTATGCCAGACACGGATTGCTTCGTATCAGTGATTTCACTTCACTTCATTTTATTTCTTTGATGGATCTCTGTGTTTCTGGTTGTAAGGTTTTGCCGGAGGAATCAGATATCCTCTGCACGCATCCAATGTTTGGACCGGCTAGCGGCAAGGATGGGTGGAGAGACCTCAATTTCATGTATGAAAAAGTTCGGATCAGAAATGAAGATACCTGCTCTAATGTCCTCCAAATTTTTGCGAGTGAAGTAGGTTTCATAGCTCATGGAGTCATTTATGAATGTTTCACTACTATCCAAGGTGGGTTAGGAGATAATTTACCGCATTTTATCTTATCCAGGGCTGCACAATGCTGGAAATGTCCTGTGAGGAACATGATAGATTAGCTGCCAAGAGCCAATTTATTACGCACGCCATAGGCAGGTATGGAGCTTTCTACACATCTAATTATCGAACATGAACACGTGGCATAAAATGCTCACCAGATAGACTCATCTCTTTACTTCTCATTGAGTAGGACATTGGGAGAGATGGAAATCACGTCCACACCTATCGACACCAAGAGCTTTCAGACACTTGTTCAAACGGTACACCATATACATGCTCAAATCTCAAAGTTTCCCCATTCTTCTAGCTCAAGTTTCCTTCTATCCTGTCCACCATTTTAGCCGCAATAATTACGTAAAAAAATATATCTTGTTTTACTACTTCAGAGTGATAATATTCAAATTAAAAGAATGAAAGATTAAGGGGAAATACAACTATTGATTCTTATACTTTTAACATATTTTAGTATTAGTTCCTGTTTTTTTTTTTTTTTGGGTTGTCCCAAATTCCTTAAATTTCATGTCTATAACCCTTTTTGTTATGGATTAAATTTACTAATGTATATATAGCTCTGTTGATTAGGTTGCTGAGTTTGTAAAATTATGATGAGTTGAACATTGTATAATAACATAAAAAATTAATAATATAATAAATGAATAATGACATTACACTAATTGATGTATAATAATATAATTGCAGAAGGACACTGTCATGAAGGGTAGTCTTGATCTCTTCAGTGGATTGTTCATGCATAACAGATTTGCCAGACAGGAGGTACCAAGCTGCTTGCCAGTTGCTTATTTCCAAGTATTTAGTAATAAAAGAATTATTCACTCTTTAAAATCACTGAACCAGGGAACTGAACATTTGACTTATGACAATTATGCAGCTGGAAAACCTTGAAAATTCCTTGCACAAAGTCAAGGAGATGCTGATTCAAAAGACGAATCAGGAGCAAGAGAAGACTGAATGTTGATGCTCGGCATCGTTGACGATCAAGAAGCATCCTGAGCTATACATCTTTTCCAATTTCAATCCCTTCCAACGCCGTACAAATCAGAGTCTAAATCTTTCTTATTAATTTAGTACAAATTTCTCGTTGTAGGGTTTTTTTCTTTTTTTTTTTTTGGGGGGGCGGGGGACGCTTCTTACACACTCGTAGTTTATGTTACACTCTTTCCGAACTCTACAAGAGTGTTACCATCAATATTTGTAAAAGATCCTTGTACTATAAATAGATCTTATCTCTGTTTTTTGTTGCAAATCACTTCTGCATAATGATGGACTAATGACTACAGCATAAGATCACATAACATGGGGCATCTTTTCAGAATTTAGAGTGATGTTAGAGGAATCGAACCCATGACTTGCAACAAAGTGGAGCCAATTTGCGCTAACCAGCAAGTCACGAGTTCGTTGAGCAAATGGGGCAGCTTTTGAATATAAACTCAAATGGACCCCTGCGAGTTTCAGTAATAAGTAAATTAACCACTCATATATAATTCCAGGGTTTCTGCCCACAGGCTGCTGGATGTACTAAGTAGTTTTACATTCATGCTATCTGAGCATTACTAAAAGTAACTCCAACCTGTACTAAGGTTCACTGCTCCATAATCCTGGGTAAAGATGTTCAAACTTTACCGTAGACTAGATAGTCCAATGTTGCCCCTAGTCTTGTTTTATTGGCTTGGAAAATAAGATTTGTCAAGAGATATCACTATAATTTGATAATATCCCTTTAATTTTGTAAAACTATTTTTTCATACACATAACTCGCATCTATAATGTTCGCCACTTCATTCACTAAACTGGGAGAATCATAAAAAGAGATATGCAATTGAATAGTAAAAGAAACTTTCGTGCTACTCAAAGAGGAAAATAAACATTAAAAAATTAGAAAACCCTATTCGGTTGTGTCTATCAATTGTGCAAGAAGTAAACTCAGATACAATTCTTTATATTTTTCTGCCAGGTTTTCCAATAAAACTATCAGGTTTATGATTTATTTTTTTGGGGGCGGGGGGGGGGGGGAACTGTATACACATTTTTCCTCGAAAGAGTAGCACAAACTACTGAAAATGTGACCGGAGTAATTTCATCTCACTTACTTTGGACATCATCAACGCCAGTTTCTTCTGTTTCGTTGCATGCAATTGCAGCATGATTGGGAGAATCTGGGATTTGTAGGGAGGATGATTCGGTCATTTTAACTTGCAGTCCAGTAAATCGTGCGATGTCAATCCATTGCTGCAGCGATTTAAGAGGGAAAATGGTAAAAATTAGCTTGTCTAATATGTAAATGCTTAATGTAGATGAAACTTGATGAATCGTAATATTGCAGATTATGTACTTGAGGTGGTTTACAAAGCAATATTGCACAGAATTCATCCACCATTCTAAAGGCCGCCAAAGCTCCTCTTTTTCCCTCCAAATTATCCAAAACTCTAATCATACTAAATACTGTCTCCCACCAAGACAAGATTATGCTAAATCATTTTACCTTCCAAAATATTCATTACTATGAGCACTACGATGTGAAATGGTCCACTAAGGAAAGAAAAAAAAAAAGATATTTCAAAACCATTGTTTGAATGTTCAACCAAGAAAAGAGTTGGCCTCCTGAAGATGAAATTGTGGGCAAGATGCAAGCAAAGCATTTAAGCACACATCGTAGGAAGTAAAATAAAAAAAGTATACTGACCTGAGTTCCCCAATAAGAATTGATTATCCGAGCAACAAAAGATATCATATTTACAAGAAGTGTTTGGGATGAAAACTGTTCAGAAAGCCGGTGCTCCACAACTCCAGCAATAATCTGTAAAACAAATTGTTCTCATTTGAGTATCCAACACCAGAAGAGAATTACAGACCTTAACTTCCATCAATGATATTTAAAAAAAAATGGAGACCGCCTAGCCAGTTAGCTGCAGTTCCAATCGAGGAAAATATTTTCAAAAAATTAGTCTGAGGAGCAAAATGTATAAGGGAGAAGAACAATACAGCATCGGAAACATAGTTATCCTTGAACTAGTGTTTCACCAGAACTTTTCAGTGGTCTTCAAAGACCCTAGATTTCAAGTTGCAGCACGTGGAAAACCATATTTCCAAGTGTGACAACCAACAATATGTGTGTTTGTGTGTGTGTATTACATTAGGGAAAAAACCTATCAAAAATTTTCCCCCCTCTCCAAATCTTAACACAGCTCAACATGCTGAAAACCTGAAGCTCTTCATTAACCCATACCCAATAAATCATGCATGGGAAAAATACCGCTTCACACATTAGTAAAGCATGAACCAATAACATGACAATATATAACATGGCATTTGCCACTAAAGAGTAGGTGTGATCTTCTCGAACTCTCATGTAACACATTAACTACAGCCAAAATATTAAAATACAGACAAGTTCAGATATGGGCTATCACTCTCTATACCTGATAGCGAAGATTTGCAGATATTCCAAGAAAACATGCATAAACAACTGCTGTTTTGAGCATCGGTGATCTTATAATCCGTTGATTAGAAATAACTGCTGGATTAAAGAATCTACGAATTGTAAACAATGCATTTGATGAAGCCACAGCTCCTACACTTGAGACAAATCCAACACCAGCAAGTTTTAAACCACCAAATAAAACAGAAGCAACTCTATGATTGAGGCTCCAGTTGGTCCCCACGGGACTCTTCTGAAATGCATTGTCTGGGATAGAGCCCAGAAGACCTCTCAAAGCATCAATGTTGTCAGGTGCATTCATCTCATCAGCATATGAAAGGAATGACAAAGTCGGGGCAGGAAGCCACACTGTGAAGAAATCAACGATTGATCCCCTGACTAAGTCTGTTATAACATAGTCAAGCTCTTCAAAAAAATTTTCCTTCCGCTTTTCATACTGAGCTATCAGTGAAGTTGTAATTGATATAGCTTCCTCTATGGCTAATCTATGCAAGAATTTGGGATCCGCCAACAATCGTTCCCTAAATCCCTGCATCAAGGGAAGCCAGATAGAGAGCGGGAATATGAGTAATCAAAGCAATAAAATACTCTCATAATGAGACAAAAGATTCCTATTTCAAATTTAGAAATACCTGGAATCTATGAGTCAGTTCGGAAACCAGTGGATACTGCTCTAGATCGAAAAAGTTCTGTAACACTTCAGGTGATACCAAACCAAGATCAATTCCCTTTTGAAGATCCTGAAAATAAATGGAAAATTTATTGATTATATCTATGGGATAAGGACAAGAACAAAAAAAATCTGACGATGAAAGCACAACCAATTTACACCTGGTGTCACTTGTGACTACTCATTATACTCCCAAATCCTAGTCATAACTTAATGCATAAAATTTTTTAGTTTCTTCAAGGATGATAACTGATTGCAGAATACTGCAGCGTATGGAAGACACAAAATACTACAAGTACTGATATGTAACACCTGACAGTATTCAGAATGTTTCAAGTTCTTACCTTTGCGATACACAACAGAAAGAAGGTGAAAAAGGGGAGAGGTGGGAAGAAAAGGGTGCGTAAAAAAAAAAAAAAAAGGTGGATGCACTGAGTAATAAATTGAATAGCCAACCTGTGGGAGGGCATCTCTCTTTCGACCAGCAGCATTCATAACCCGTGCAACCTCAGCACGATCAAAGCAGTTTCTACTACATGGTCTGGCAGCAGAATACCACAAGAAATCAGCAATAGGAACTTCTCCCTCTCTACGAATGAGTTGCCTCTCAGGATCAAGTAATACAACAACTTGATTTTTCTTCTGCATTTTCCTTGAAATTCTTGCTGGCACTCCAGTTCCTCTAGATCCATAAGAAATGTGGCTGGCACCGGTCACAACTAATAACATGCCACCAGGACCTTCCTCCTGCACATTTTGTAAGATAATGCGGGACATAGTGTAATCTTCAACTACTCTTGCTTGTGCAGATAGATATGAGCTTGGACCAAAAGGAATAGATGGATTTGGATTAGTCATATCTATTGATGATCTTCGTGAGATGGAAGTAAAGCCTGATATGAAGCCTGAACCGGCAGGAGGAGCATATAGTTTACGATCAGCCCTTGAAAGCCCACGAATTCCTTCTGCTTGCACAGTCCTTAAGACCTGTTAATACCAGGATAGTTACCATGTCATCAACAGTTCTTCTTATAGTCAACACACATAATGAGCACTTAGCTTGTCAAATTTTCATTTTACTCAAGATAGATATTCAATATATGAAAAAGGTGAAGTCAATTCCTGGAGAATATTGAACTAGAGGATAGCTTACGAATATATATGATCGGGGACCAATAATGACCCTGAACTTAGAATTGTATTTTCTTAATTCATTTAAACTTAAAATTACTTTGCTCCCAGATAATGTGTGCTAGCGGCATTATAAGTTCATTTAACATGTGAAAGTTCCTATGATGTCTTTCCATTTTCTGCATCACCCTTTCTCCTTTCTCCTAAACCTTCTACGCATCTACATCAATTTGTATAAGCTAAGTTATACGTCAAAAGCTTTTATCATTCATAGCTCTGCTTCCATCTAATGTCAGAGCATTAAGAAAGAAAATAAATATGTGGTGATAGCATAATGGAATTATAGAAAGCCATTGGCCCATTGCAAGAAGCACATCATATGCTGTTATCTTCCCATGCAGCTCTAGGCCAAATACTAAATCATTGTCTTGAATAGATATATGTATGTCAACCTTGTTATTTTTCCCCAGAATCAAATCTACCCTCCACCAGACATATCAGAACCAAAAGGAACATATCAAGGATTTGCAATATCTTGGATGAAAACAAAAGTATACCTTTAGTGGGGTACCACAAGCAATGAGACGGATTTCACTATCACGACAGTAGCTAAAAAGAGGTTCATACTCCTGCCACCTTTGAGGTGGCCAATGTAATGTATAAGACCTTAAGGTTTCTCCATCTATCCTGCAATGAAATCCAGGATGTAATCAATGCAGGATTGTGGGGAAACATATGGCTCGGATAAATGAGAGATTGGCCAGTAAAGAAGCTTCAAAAGTAGGGAGAGAGGGGGAAAAGATGCAGGGATTGGTCACTGTATATTTTTAAAAGCCAAAGATTAGAATTAACAGACGCGAAAGACACAGATTGTGTCAGTAGCATGCAATATATTTATAGGTTAAAATTTCTACTCACATAAAATGGATGCAGAAACTTCACTTATTACTATTAAAGTATTAATTCCTACATACATACACGATGTTTTGCTTTCTTAAAATGTGCACCACAAACAGCAGCACGTCACCCATTTTCATGTCCCATGCATTACAGCACTTTAGACGGGTAACTCATTGTAAATGGTAACACATAGGGAGGGCTACACTATGCATGATATCACTTGAAGATTCCACTTCAAGCCTGCAAGTGCAATAAGTACAACAGAACAGTGCCTACAGTTTCTTGCCCCTAATCTGACATACATAAAGGATAAAATAATGCCGTTACTTCCTCCGCTTCTCGACCAGACGGCTAAAGTCATGAAGGGAAAGGAAAACTCAACTATCTAGAATACTACCAATACCATGAGCATATGATTTGCAATTAACCATATAAAGCAAAGCAAATTAATATAAGAGTACGAGACTAAGACCGTAAATTGGTGAATATTCTAAACTATCTCATGTATCCAAATGCCCAAAATGATAAGATTAAGATAATATGACAAAAACAGCCAAGCCAATTAATTTTCAATCAGCATATGCTTTAAATTCCACAAGTAGATTATAATTTTCAAGTTTTCAGCTAGCATGGAAAGGCATCGCATGACAAATGGACAAGTATAACCATATATAAGAAAAATAAATTCTTTTCCTTTTTAAAGGTAAAGGGCGTACTTCTTATCGATATACTGATTGAGCTGCTCCTGCAGATTAGATGGAAATGCCTCAAGAGCCAAAGATAATCGCTTTTCGCTCCCGGTGCATCGTTTGTGCAAATTCTTGACTATTTCCAACTCCAATTCCCTATCGTCTCGAACTGGAACCTGCTCCGCTTCACCCAAATACACTACTCGAGCATTCATCAACTTCTCCCACACTTTCCATTTATCTTTCCCAACTGCCAATGGTTCACCAATAACCGTCGCGTCGTATATCCTCGACGTTATTACATCCTCCTCCTCCTCCTCCTTCTGCTCCTCAGGCTTTGAAGCCGGCAAGTCCACTGCTGCTTTCACCTCCGTCGGCGACGGTGTCGCAGTGACAGCCACTTTATCATCGGCCCTCGCTGCCGCTGCGAACAGAAATGACGCTCCCATGGCAAGAACTGGCACGAACAACACTTGTCGCCTGGTGCTTCGAGCCTCATCCGATGATTCCAAATTTTCAGTTAAATATTCCCTTCTGGTACTACGGCCATAGTCGTCAGACTTACTAGCCTTGATACAAGAGGGATGGGCAGATAAACTGACCATACGGCGGCGTTTAGGGGTCCAAAATCTCCGGGAAGCATGGTTTCCGGCGTCGAATAGCGACAGAACAAACTTCTCCGGAGGAACAGAAGACGCACTGCCACGCCGAAAAGCGGTTGGCGGTCTACTGCTACAAGCAGCGTGAGTTTGGGGTCTCATGGACCTTCGCAGGCTTTACTGCGTCCCCTTAACCGTCAGTGGCACATTTGGATGAGACAGGAAGAGTTATTCGTTGAATTTCAGCCATGGGAGGTTGGCATTAGATTCGCCCTATCTAATCCAGGCGTAAAATTCACAGACACAAAATAAAGTAACATATTTTTGTGCTGAAAAACGCCGGATAAACCATGGCCACAAGTTCAAATTGATAAATCTTCGAAAATTCTTTCGACTTGACATGGAGTTGGCCTTTCAAAATTATCTCATGTATATGATCCTATTTAATTGTATAAATAACTGCTTTTTTCTTGTTTCAGTTTTCATTGGACTTTGATATTTGGATTAATAAAAATTTAAATTTGTATTTGAGTTAAATTTTTTATGTGAATATATAAAAATTTATGAATTTAAATTTTATTTAAACTCAAATTTATTTCAAATTATATTTTTTATAATTTTAAATTATTTTTACATTTTAATTATTTAAAATTCTAATCACTTCAAATATTTTATTTTTTTTATAAATTTTTACTATTAATACTTCTATAACTATAACTCTAATATTTTTTCATTTATTATCAATTGAAAATAAAAATAAATTTTTTATTTTTTATTTTTTATTTTTCTTTTAAATATTAGTTCAACTCTATTCTTTGTTTAAGAATGTTTAAACTATCCAAACAAACAAAGACATTTGAAGCGTAAAATTTTAAATTCAACATCCAAATCTAAACACTACCTAATTTCCTTTCGTGAGATTTTGCACAAGTTTTTAACCATTCAATTCAATGAAAAAATATTAACTTCCACAAATATTTATTTATATTATTTTTTGACCGGGGTTTATGTAAACATGTGATACTTCTGGCCAGAATATTTATATAATGAATTTTTGAAATATACGAATAATATTCACTTTAGTTTCTTTGTCAAGTAATAATTATCACAAATCTCATATCGGCGCATTCCGATGTACATGTGGATCTTCCGTTTTGGAAGTATCTGATGACTTGCTCTGGAGTTCGCTTCTCAGATAAACCATCCGAGTCAGGTGTGAGTCAGGCTCCTTTGGTTTTTGCCTGGGAGCGAATCTCCTTCTGAAGTACACTGTTCTACGTTGGTTGACGTCGCATCGAGCGAGAAAGAGATAGTAAAATATTAATAAATCTCATTTGACACGTAAATAGAGTCGCTCATTTTCTGTGTTGGAACTGAAAAGGTGAAAGTAAAAAATGAAATGCTGAAAATAAGAAGTTTGGTACGCTGGACCCGTTTCTCTCAAGAAGCCACTTTCATGAAAAATGATGGAACTGGGTTCCTTTTCCATACCCGTGGAACTGGTTCCTCCCTCACTTCTTTCCTCATTTTTCATCTTTGCCCTTCAAGTTTCTCCCCTAAGTCCAACCCAGATGTGACGATACTTCAAGCTCATTGACCCTGCGTCAGCAACAGTGACATCGGCGATCCTCTGCTAACAATGACGGCAACCGTCCTTCGCTAGCAACGGCTTTCAAATCTTTGTTCTTCTCGGCATCACAAATCGAGTTGTAGATCTGGGTTTTCCTTTTTTTCTTTGTTTTTTTTTTTTGTTCTTAAATTTTGTTGCCTCGCTCTCATTCTTAAACGTAACGGCTCGATAACCACTGCTCACTTCTTGTTTTCGCTCTCATTGACATTGATTAGAGCTATATCATCCTCTTCCTCTTTCACTTCTCGTTTTGTCATCTTCCTCTTTCAAACATGATACTTTGCGTTGGAGGTAGTAATCGCCCATTTGCCAATGGACCAGCATAATATTGTGCAATTATTGATTGAATATTATCATCTTCCTCTTTCATCTTAGATGATGATTATTTTGTTCTTCGTGACATTAGCTTCGTGAGTGTTTGGTGGTTCAATGGGCTATTTTTATTTCCAGAGGTATATAAGTATTTCCAAAATATAAATATAATATTAAACAAAATTTTTATGTCACTTCCATCTTTATATCAATTACATTTTTATACCCCATTTCTACATTTGTTTTCACTTTCACTTTTACTTTCACCAAAATCAATTCTCTCTTAGGATGCATTTGTTTTCAATTTAATAAAATTTTAGTTATTAAAAATTCACTTATCAAAAGTCAATTTGATAAAGTTAATTATTAAAATAAAATTTATATTTGAATATATATTTTTAAAAGTTAGTTTAATAAACTGAAAGTTATTTAGATAACATATCACAAGAACATTTAGAAGTATAATTACTAAAAAGTACATAATTTTATGATATTTAATTTTTTATTTAAAACTATAAAAATATAAAAAATATAAAAATATATAAAATTTGATATGGTGAATACTTTATATAACAAAAATGTATGAATAATATAAATTTTGAAATATTAAAAATATATATATAATAACTTATGTCTGTACAAATATTAAAAGAATTTACCAAACAAAAAATTATTATAATGATGATCCTTATTTATTAAAGTTTATTTAAGTAACCATTGTCCCCTTAAATACAAATTCAAGCATTGCCCTTGCCAATTTACCACTCCACACAAAATGAGACACAAAGTTCAACAATTGTTAAATTATTTTAATGATAATATGGGAACTAAATTTTTAAAAGTCCATTTGCAAATGGCAAAAGCAACTCTGATAAAAGTTGAGAGAAAACACATTTAGATAGATTTGGGATCAACTTTTTAAATGAACTTTTTGTGGGAAATCTGAAATCCAAACAACTTTCTAATTTAAATCACATTTTGAAAGGATTTTTGCTTTGTTGAATGTGAATCCAAAAGGGTAGTCTTAACAATGCAGTCAGAGGAAAAAATTCTAAATAATTTATTCATAAGCTATTTGACTTCATTGTAAAAAATATATATTAATATATATATTAATATTAATATTTTACAGTTCAATCCATTTTATCGCCATAATTTTATATGTAATACCAGAATATTAGCGGCCAAAAAATACCAAAAATAAAACATATATTTTATCAATTAAAATGAGCAGTTTTAAATTATTTAATAAAATAATGACTATTAAATATTAAAAAAATCAACCAAAACACTAATAAAGTAATAATACGGACAACAGATATCCTAATAAATAAATATTGTTAGACGTAGTTGAGCTGTCAGAACTCGGAACTAGCAGTTAATTAGATGAAGTTCGCTTGCTTTGTATCGGTTCAGTACTCGACCAGCATTGTCTATAAATACAAATCTCTCGTTTACTTCTCTCAGTATCTCTTCTTTCACATCTTCCCTTTGTGTTCTTCACTCTCAACCATACTCTTCCAATTACAAAGGTAAAAAGAAAGAATCAATTAAATTTGTTGTTGTAAGGAGAGTCTTTTAGGCAAACGTAATGCTTCTATATTTAGATTTTAACAGGAAATGCATATAACATAGTCAAATAAAAGTGCTGAGGAAATAAATTGAGGTTTAAAGTAACACGAGCCTTCCTTAACCTGCCCACACTGCATGGAAGCTCGTGGGCATATCCAAGAAATTGGAAAGAACAGTCTGTTTAAGGAATCTGAACGGAGTAGATCAGTAATAAGTTTGTACTCTAACTAATCTTCAATGCAAGAGCTAGTCAATTAATTGATATAGATTAAAAAAAATTAGGTTAGTTATTTGTTAAAAAAAAAAAGTGTTACTTTTCCTAAAACACCCCTCCTCAGAATAATTCATACTGGAGAATTATCAACATAACTTGTATATCATACAAAAATCTAACTATCACCGCAAAAAAAAAAAAAAAAAATCTAACTACAAGAGTAGTTTGAAAAAAATAAAAAATATGAGAGAGAGAAAATTAGAAACTTGTATTTAAATTCAAAACAAACCTACCCGCTAGCACTGGACCGGAGGGACTACTAGGCTTTGACGAGGGGATTTTGTGGTGGGTGCATGTTACCCATTCTCAGAACACACGCCCCATCAAATTCATGAGAAGCTCGACTGTATCATAGCTTAACCCGTTCCTAGATGAAGGTCATGGAACACTACAAGTACACGTTGATTATCAACTACATTATGTTCATCTGCAACCTGACGTAGCACTACCAGTCTTCGCAAAGCAGTAACATTATTCTTCTGTTTCATATGCGTTAGTTACAATGTAACAACACATACAATGATACAAAATGTAAAAATGACTAAGATTTCAGCGCTGCAAAACAAATCATTTTCTCAGTTACATAACAATAGGGTAAATTTGGAATATTATATCATCTAGTTTACATAGTGACCCTCACGGAAGCACCAATCTCCCAGTACACGGACAGCCTGTATCTTATCATCGTAGATACTATCGCCAAAAAATACTCACATACTCCCTTAAAAAAAAGGAATACAAAGTAAATTCCACATCTCAAAAGCCGCCAACAAATAAATGTGGAATGACAATTGTCAATAAGAGGAAAATGCTACCTCACTGGATATCATGGAATGAAGGCAAGATAGCAACAAGAGGGTCTCCATAACCAACAGCCTCTGTAAATAATAATTCAAACATATTTTTAATTAAAATCCATTACAGTTATGCATGCCTTCAAACTAATTAATCAAGTGGAGCAGCTAAACAACAAACGTATAGTGACACCCATTGGAGTCATCCTTTGTTAAAAAGGTCATGCATATAATGTTTTGGTAAGTTCCGTTAAGGAAAAATGTTGCAGCCCCCAACACCACATCACATGGACTGATTCAGCACAACAGTCCTGACGAAGAGTGATGTATATTGCAAATCGACTTGTGCAGAAAAGAATTAGATATCCTAGTTGACCAGTCAAAATAAGAAATTAAGTCATCACTGGTTTGTGAAACTTTTCCACACAGTCAACAGTCATTAAAAACTCATGGAAACTTGTACATATAACGAATAATCATTTATGGTGAATTACAAATAACCATATTAGTCTTCATGCGTATCTTGTGGTTCTCATAATTCCAGAAAACACAAATCCAAAAATGCAAACAATCAGAGGAAAGCTATCAGTCTAGAGAGCATAGGGTCCCCTGGCCAAAACCGAAGTATAAATTCCAAACAAACTGACTACAGACAATTCTGTTGTCCGTTTTCCTCTAGTCTTAGTGTCTGTCTATTCTTGTAATGAAATATTCTTAATACTACAATTAAATACGAGTGTAAAACAACCATATCTTTCCTTGTAATTAAATTATTTTTTTTCCAGTTCCAGATCAGCAGCTCCATATAATTAAAGACCCATATCAAACAAATCTAGACAGAGACATTATACCTCCATCCTGAAAAAGTATCTTCAAAACTTCTCCAGCCACATCTGACTGCAATATTCAATAATAAAAACAGTTAGCAACAGCAGAACTTTATAAGGGGATTAGCTATTAAAAATATTGAAGTGGTTTACCTTAACAGGAAGTTCAGTGCCAAACTGATCCAAATACCCAATGACTTGTCCAGCTTTGATTACATCACCCTGTAGATTTAAAAATTGAAAACAGATAATTAAGATTGTAGAGAAAGGCTAGTAAATGTTGACAGTGATTTGCAGTCAGTCCAATGCAAGTGAGATCCTTATCTGACATAAAATCTATTGGGTAGAAAGCATCAATAAAATCATGCCTCGCAGAGAAATGTAGGTCTGCTAACCTATATATGAGCACCAAAGATGAAAAATCTAACTCATCTCTCACACACGACTGTTTGCAAAAATTTCTTATTTGTAAGAATAAATCAAAATTTAATCTCAATTGCACGGCATGAATATACCTAAGTCTTAAGACTAATTGCTTTAGTTAATATTAATTATGCAACCCATAGAAGATGGAAATAAAATGTACAAAACCAAAACTTGATTTGTAAAGTTTGATTGCAAGGGATGTTGAATGATCAGAACAAGTTCGTGACATAGAAATAAAATGTGAAAGATGGACAAAGAAAAGCAAACATATTTACCTCTTGACACATAGGAGGTTGCCTCTTCCCTTTCAACGTTCTACCTCTTTGGAATGAGCCAACCTGAAGGGGGAGAGGGAAGTGATAGTAAATTCCATATGGTCCCAGTCTCCCAGATAAAGCAATGGTAAATAAGTAGAGTTCAGTGCATATATTACTGGATGACATACCGTAGGAGATGACACAAGCACGTACGCTTTAGTACCAGAAGCTTCCAATGCTGCCAGCTTTGATGATTTCTCATGGGGAACATTTATAAACGGATTGGTCTTTTCTGGAGATGATTTTGGTGGGGGTGGTGGGGGTGTATCAGGTACTGATTCAACCATGGGTTTAGTTGGAATAGGTGGTGGAGTAGTTGGTGAAATGTTGGACAAAGGAGCTTTTGTTGCTCCAATGTTTCGCTTGAGATGCATTTCAAACTCTCCAACCTATCACATTAAAAATTAAATAAATATTTTGGGTGTTCACCAAGGACAAAGATCCCCCCCTAAGCATCAGAGGTTATGTACAAGATTCAACAAATACACAGCTAAAAACTTGCTTCTTTTCATGACCCAAACACATGAAATTCATGCAGCGTGATCCAATCCAAGTAAATTGTCATATCAAATATTAATACCCTTACTTTTGTTTATTGTCAAATTCAAATGTTCCAAATAACCCCCGGGGGGGGGGGGAGAAGGAATTAAAGCCAGATAAGACAGGAGGTCCTCAAGGACCAAACTCATTTCTAATTATTTCCTATGTTGTGCCATGCGTAAATCATACTCATCATTTTGGCTTATGTTTTAAAGCAGACACCAGAATAGAGGGCTATATAAATGCATCTAGTTGATTTGAGAAGGAAAAAGAAAAGAAAAGAATTTAAATTTCAACAGAAATTCCTAAATATTCAAAGACAAATAGAGAAATACACATATATGAAAGAAAAGCCGTTTACCACATCAATAGCCTGTGTGTGCAACTTCAGGCTCATAAGCATGCAGTATGAAGTGGGATTTTATCAGCCTTCTTACTATATTTAAAGAACAGTGAGCCACCATAAATTTTATAGATGCAGAGAAAATAGAAGAGGTCAACAAATTCCCTTTAAAAGAAAAACAAAATGTAGATGGCAACCTTTAATTGCAGCTCAGCAATTTCAGTCTCGTCACAGACCTCCAATACCAAAGCCTGGTATGCAACGCAGACATGGTTCAAGTCAGGAGATTTAAAAAAAAAAAAAAACAGAGAGAGAGTGCAACTGTGCAAAGTATAATAATAGATGGTGTGTAGCTATGTACAATCATTGTCAAAAAAATGCAGTTAAGAAGTTCAACAGAAATTTCAAGGCCGTAAAACCTAGTCTTACAAAATGATGGTAGCACAAATTGATATTATGGCGGGTTTAGGGTTTAGGTGCGTAGCTATGTACAGTCATTGTCAAAACGTTGTCTTATAATAATAGATGGTGTGTAGCTATGTGCAGTCATTGTCAAAAAAATATAGTTAAGAGGTTCAGTAGAAATTTCAAGGCCATAAAACGGTCTTACAAAATGATGGTAGCAACATAAATTAATACTATGGCAGGAAACGATCATCTTTTAGACTTGGCAGACTTACAGGAGCTTATCAGGGTAAATTACAGTTCTCTTTCCTGCAAGATGACCAAATTACATGGCCTTCCCAGCTATCTTGGGAAGTTACATTCTCCTCCTTTCAAATCAAAAGATAAACTATAACTACATCTATTTTGATCATAATATCTTAAATTTATTCCTTATATACAAAACAATAACAAGCTTTACCCTACTAGGTGAAGTCGGCTACATAGATTGCATGACATCATTGTATTCTATCATTAACCAAGCTTTTAGGAATGTTATTAACAAGAAGGTCTCGTTCAACAACTTCCATAAATGTTCTTTTTAGTCTTCCTCTAACCCTTTTTACAAAGCTCAAGATTATCCATTCCACTCTCCTCACCAGTGCCTTCCACAACCTTCTCTATACATGTTTAAACAATTTCCTACCATTTTCTCCTCAATAGATGCCACACTCACTTTTTCTCATATATGCTTATTTCAGATTTTATCTTTTCAATTCATATGTGCCCGTTCATCCATTTCAACATTCATTACCATATAATATAATTGATCTTGTAACAATTCAATAAAACTTCCCTTTAAATTTATTAGGTAATTTTTTATCACAAATAATTCTTTTAACCTTTCTCCATTTAAACCACCCAACTTGTATCCAATGTATAACATCTCAATCAATTTTTTCATCATGTTAAATAATAGTTCCCGTGATATATACCAAGAGAAGTACTTTGAAAGACTTTGGAAAAGAAGGGTGTCTAGGTTGCCTATATTCGAGCTATACAAGATATATATGAGGGGGCAACAACTAGTATAAGAACGCTTGGTGGTAAAATAAAAAATTTTTCTATAAAGATTGAATTGTATTAAGGATCATCTATAAGTTCTAATTTATTTGATCTAGTGTTAGATGTTTTGACTGAACATATTCAAGAAGAAATTCCTAAATGCATGTTTTTTGCAAATGATATAGTTCTTATTGTAGACAAAAGAGAAGAGATAAATTGTAAATTTGAATTATGGAGGAAAACATTAGAGTCAAAAGGTTTTCGCCTGAGTAGGAGTAAAACAGAATATTTACATTGTAATTTTAATAAGGGGTTAGTGAATAGTAACTTGGAAGTAAAATTGGGTGATTAGGCCATACCTCAAGTGAAAAAATTTAGATATTTGAGAGCGATTATTCAACAAAATGGAGACATTGATGGAGATATTATACATAGGATACAAGCGGGGTGGTTTAATTGGAGAAAGGCTAAAAGAGTTATTTGCAATCGTAAGGTACTTGATAAGCTTAAAGTAAAGTTTTATCGAACTTCTATAAGACCAGCAATTTTATATGGTAGTAAATGTTAGGTTTTGACAAGACAGTAAGAACATAAAGTTAGAGTAGCAGAGATGAGAATGTTGAAATGAATGTGTGGATATACACGTAAAGATAAAATTTAAAATGGACAAATATGAAAAAAAATGGGTGTGGCACCTATTGAAGAAAAAATGATAGAAAATCGTTTGGGTGGTTCGAACATGTACAAAGAAGACCACGGGAGGCACCCGTAAAGAGAGTGGAACAGATAACTTTGAGCTCTGTCAAGAAAGGTAGAGGAAGACTGAAGAAAACACTTTTAGAGGTTGTTAAGTGAGACCTTTTAATTAATAATATTCCTAAAAACTTAATAAATGATGGAGTACAATAATAACAACAACAGCAGCAGCAGCAGCAACAAGCCTTTATCCCACTAGGTGGGGTCGGCTACATGAATTGTAAGACGCCATTGTGCTCTATCATTTATCAAGCTTTTAGGAATATTATTAATTAAGAGATCGTGTTCAACAACTTCTAAGAGTGTTCTCTTAAGCCTTCCTCTACCCCTCTTAATCGGACTCAAAGTTATATGTTCCACTCTTCTCACTGGTGCCTCCCTTGGTCTTCTTTGTACATGCCCAAACCATCTCAACCGATTTTCTACCATTTTTTCCTCAATAGGTGCTACCCTCACTTTTTCACGTATGTGCTCATTTCAAATTTTATCTTTACGTGTATGTCCGTACATCCATCGTAACATTCTCATCTCTGCTACTCCAACTTTATGCTCTTGCTGTCCCGTTAGAGCCCAGCATTCAAATGATGGAGTACAATGACGTCATATAATCCATGTAGCCAATCCCATCTAGTGGGATAAGGCTTGTTGTTGTTGTTGTCAGATAATAGTTCCCAAATATCTAAATCTTTTCACTTGAGGTATATCTAAACTTTTATCTCCTAATTAATAGTTATTACTTATATAATAAGTAGTCCCTCAAGCCTTATGTGTAGGATACCTTCTAAAAGTAATTTTTGGTTCTAAATGTAGAATACCTTGTAATATTTAAACTACTTTTTTCAATTTTATCCTTTATTGGATAACGTAAAAGTATTTAATATAGTTATATCATTATTAAAAGTCAAGGGCAAAAAAGGAAATACATCTTTTTTTATTATACAAAAAAAACTAACTTTCCTTAAGATGCATAAAACAGTTGAAATTATTTTATGATAAGGACCGAAGGGAGTATTAATTATGCATTGACCAATGTGAAAAAGTTATATTTTAAAATTTGAAATACATTAAATTTACATTTTTCAACATAAAATAATCAGCATTGAAATAAAAGCTTGAGAGAATATGTTTTCTTTTTAACAAAAGAAATCAATACTATCATGTAAGGTGCTTTTTTCACTTTTTGACTTCAAAGGAAAGTTAGGGTATATTTTTATAATAGAGGGGCAGGGTGCATAAAGGGCATCTCTTAGGAGAAGGAAAGCAATTTAACTATATGTAATTTTGCAGTCGAGGACAAGTCATCAATCAAAGGCAAAAAAAGAAAAAAAGAAAATCTCTGCAGTTGTTTCTTATTGATAGCCCACAAAATGAGTTTCATTGCATATATTGGTTCTGATAACCATTAACATATATCAATTAAAAATGTGTGTGCGCGCGCGCGTGTGTGAATATGAAATCAAAGGTATATATAAGAAAAGGTTAGCTTAGACCTCGAATCCATTAGGAAAAGTATTTTTCACATGCTTTTTCGCCAATGAGCTTTGTGGAATGCTGTCCGAAGAAGCTGGCAACATCATTACATAACTATCAGGTACCAAGGAAGAAAATACAATATCTCTACTGATATCTAATTTCTTGAGTGTAACAGTTTAGACTTTAGACTCACTCAAGCAGCAGCTACAAGCAAAATATGTTCAATAAATTTATTTCAATATAAAAATAACTAACCATCTGATTTGGCAGTTTGGGTATCTTCAGCTGTATTTGCACACAAAACACGTGTTTGCTTCCGTGTGATTTGAGAACTGATGTGCCTCCTATCATTGTCCAAGCGATGGCTGTAGAGTATACTCTGAGAGTTCCATCCAGCATTATGCATCGGAACTATACCTGGCTTCTCAAGATTTGACTGCAATTGCCGCACAATTGCTATGGGATCTGAAATCAAAACAAAAATCAAGCTTATGATTGCCATAGTTTGCCCTATAATATTTTAATAAAAAAGGTATCAGCATGTACAGAGTCTTGATAAATCATGCATGCATACATGTGAGTGCCTAACACATATTTTTTCTTTGAATGAAAGGATGACCACTGTTAGAAAGAAGATAGACAGAATACATGATCTGGAAAAAAGAATGTCAATGCAATAAAGCGCTCAATTCATTTCTATATCTATGGGCGTAGCTCCCTTTAAGAAGAAAGCCGCCTGTCAGGATAAGGTAGCCTTTTTGTGTTTATTCTTCTCTCCCCCTCCCCCTCTCAAACTCCCTACTCATTTCAAAATAGAGCAGATCGTTTAGGCTATGTATACTACAACAAGAAACAACCAGGAGAGAGAGGCAGAAAGCTAAGAGGCGTAGTTTCCTTGGGAATAGACATTCATAAAGTTTTCTAACCTTGATACATCCACCGAATTCTTGTAACTCTTAAGAAATTAAAACAGCTGAACCAGAACCTTTATCACAAGTTCAACATGTGATTGTTGATTAGACAACCAAGGTTGAGTAGCCTTTTAAAAAAAAAAATGAAAAGCATGAAGTGAAAGAACATAAATATTGCTAAGAAATAATTCTACTATCGTCATAAAACTAAATCGGCAAGCTTCTCTAAGATTAGATTCTCCAAACTAGAATACCAAACCTATCCCAAAAAAAAAAAAATAGAATACCAAAACCAATTTAAAGTGTAAGTTAGACTCTGCCTTTAGCTCAATCAGTAGGTGAAAGAAATCTAATCCTAAAACCGAGAGACGGGCGAAAGAAGCTACAGCTGACCTCAATTCTAAAGGAAATTCGGATAACATTTCAAGAAACATAACAAAATCTACAATGATTTCCTCCCCCACCCAAAAAAAAAAAATGAAATGATTTCAAATTCCTTCATACACGGAATCCCCAAAAGAAAAAGAAAAAAAAAACTGTAACACGCCAACCACAACTAGAACTAGCACTTAGTGCAATACATTGAAAATAAGCAAATACAGAAGAAAATAGAAAAGAAAGACATACAGTGAACGGATCGGATGGCAGGCGAGGCATCCATGGAATTGAGATGGAATCGAAATGGCAGCGATTAGATGTGGCAAGGACAGATGGAATGCAGTGATACTGACAAGAAGCGAAAGCTTTTAGCGAAGTAATGTGTGGGTTGCCACAGTTGAGGCTACTGAAGACGGAATAACAGGAGTGTGTTTTATCTTGGAAATTCCGCCTTCTCGCTTGTTTTCTCCGTACTGTGCCTTCTTCTCCCTGGACTTATTGCTATCATGCGCCGTGTTACTTGTGATTTATGGTTTACGATTTCCTACGGGAAGTAGTAGTTCCTTACGATGCATATTCGCCACGTGTATGCTAAGTGTTAGCTGATTGGGTGCCACTTTTCGTTTCGTTTCGCTTTTTCGTTACTTTTGTTTCACTACCAGCTTGGCGCGGGAAAATTATATTCCCTGTCAATATTCTAGTCACTATTTATATTATTGCCCGCGACTGTGAGGACTAGCATCAGGGACGAATCCAGAAAAGAAATCAGGGGGAGAAATTAAAAACTACTTAAAATACGAGAGCTTAACATTAATTTGTATTTTTTGAAGCAAAATAAAAAAATTTTAAGGGCCAATCAAATTTTGGGGGGCAAGCACCCCCCTTTAGATGCGTCCCTGAGGAGGATGTCGTCCTATTTTTCTTAGATAAGTTTTAATGATTTGTTAACATGATAATGTTTTTCACGCTTTTAATATGCGACGTTACATTGATTTTTTGTTGGTACATTGATTGATAGTATTAGATACTCCCCCATTCTAAATTGTAAAATATTTTTAAATAAAATTTTACATATAAATAAATCAAATTAAATATTATTTAATAATTTTATTTTTTAAAAAATATAAAATTTTTAAAATAAAATTTATTTAATATATTAAAAAGATAAAGGGATGATAATTAAATAGAAAAATGAATGGTAGTATTGAAATAAACACATTTAATGAAATTTTAATTTTTTTAAATGTCTTATATTTTGAAAAGAAAAAATTTTCTTAAAAATGTCTTATACTTTAATATAAATGAGTGCTTAATAGATTTTGATTTCGAATTCATTGTTTTTGTGTGACATAAATCTTGAGCCAATTGTGTATTACTCACTTGGTTTATAAATATGTTATTATTTTTAAATTAAATTTTTAAGAATATAAAATATTTTATGCTTTTAATATACAGTTAACAAGGTTTTTCAAAAATACTCTTAAACAAGGATATAATTAGTAATGGTAAAAGCGTATAATTCTAAAAACAATTATTTAACTGGTTAAGAATATGATTTAATTAAAATACTATGTAATATTGGGCTGAGGGAACATATTATAATAGGGAAATACTCTTAAACAAGGATATAATTAATAATGGTGAAAGCGTATAATTTTAAAAACAATTACCTAACTCATTGAGAATATGATTTAATTAAAATACTATGTAATATTGGACCGAGGGAACATATTATAATAGGGAAATGGGTTAGAAGCATTTTACTTAATTGATGTGGTTATGGGTTGGTAAAAAAAAAACCCATGGTTATTATGTGCCTTATGTCTTTATAAATGTTCTTCTGACCTTATTTACATGTTATTTTTAATTTGTTTCACAACAATTAAAGAAATTAAACGTTAAAACTCATTAATTTATCTAAAAACAACACGAGTTTTCAATTTTCTCTGTATCATTAAATATTGTATTGATGTCTTGGGATTGATCTTGGTTCAGATTGATCCTTCTGTCTCATATTTTCCTTCCAATAATAACTTCTCTTTCAATCTCCAACCGGGCTTGTTTCTATTATAAATTCTCTTTCATTTTTATATGAGTACATTGGAAATGGAAATAAAACCAGCGCACATTTATTGTCCGGAAAACTCATCTCCCTCACGCAAACCATGCTTATCCATTTTTATTTTTATTTTTCCACCTGATATTCTGAAGTGTTTAAGTATTTTAAATTTTATTGCCTGCCCAGCTCAATCCAAATTAATCTGAATTCTCTCATAAGTGGGGCCTTAATCATGAAGGTTTTGCGAGTATAATTAGCGAGATACACTTAAATACTTTATCTATTTATATATGGTTGGTCTAAAGGCCCAAAAAAAACAAAAACCTTATCATTTAAAAAACACCTAGTGCGTGTTTATTTTCTATTTTTAAAAAATTAGTTTTTATTTTTGAACATGAAAAAATTTAAAATTTTATTTAGATAAACGTTTTTCATTTAAGTATTTTTAAAACATTTTTTATTTTTTTTTTTTAAAAAAAATAAAAATAACTTTCAGTTGTTTTCATTTTTTTTATTTTTAAAATACACTATGTTTTATTAACTTGATTAATTTCTATTATTAATCACCATCATTAACTTCTTATAGCCATTACTATCAGTCTATTTTTTTAATTATAAAATTATTTGTTAATTAACATAACCAAAAAATTTTATTTTGTTTTATTTTAAAAATAATTTTAAATACTATATTATAAAATAGTTTTAAAAATAAAAAATGATTATAGAAACCAAACAGGCTCCTAGTCAACTATTTTTTCGTTTTGTCATTTTATAGCTGGATTTCCTAGAAAGAAGAAATATCATTATGATTGGCCAAAAAAAAAAAAAAACACCTTACCATCATGTATGAAAAACAACACAGTGAAATATTATTTCGGGATTTCTAAGAAAAAATATATAAAATTAAATACGCGTAGGATTTGTTTTGTTATATTACTGTGATATTAAAAGGTACATTGTGAGGGCTAGCCGGGGTTCCACTAAACTCAACCTATTGGTCGATTTTGAGCCCCTTATGATTATAAAGAAAATGTTTAGCCAAATTAAGTCATCATTTGTTATTAATTAACATAACGGATTAATATATTGCTTACCATTCTGATCGGTTCGATCGATAAAGGAATATATTCATCTATTATTCTCGAGTCATCACATGCATGTGTGTCTGCTCTAAAACAACAGCATGATTTTCCTAAAAAGATCCTAATTAAGCTAGTAATAAATAAATAGTGATCAGTCATGTGCACCAACAGAGAGGTTCATTCATAAAAGAAAACTAATAACAGGGACATAAAATCATTAGAATTTTTCCACTTTTATGTGGGCAACAAATAGCTAGATGAAAATTAAAAATAAAGTCATCTTATATCAATATATCATTATTTTGAAAGCTAATTAAGCGACGTGGAGATCAACAGTTTCTCTGAACTCGAACCTCCGAGTTTCACTGTAGAACGTTTTGTGTTTGTTAGGCCAATAGGTCAACCAAATCCAACCCCTGATCTCCCACTCCATCGTCTTCCCAATAGCACCTTTATCCACTTTCCACATCACACTGTCTCCGTACTCATCGCCTGCAAATATGATCCCTCCTTGCCTCGTGAATGGCCTGTAAGCACTCGAATACCTGTCTCTGAACCACGACCTAGGGTTGAGCAACGCGCATTTGGAAGGCTTGGACGAGAACACTTCTTTCCCGTTTATGCTGTCGTGAAGAAACCAGTTCAGGTTCGCACTGTAGCCGTTCATGGATTCTTCGAACTTCCATGGCTTCAGGCTCACCGTCGCTGTCTCTCCGGCCGATACCTTGAGTCCCAAGGGATTGTTTGGCTCCAGTGAAGCTTCGATGCTCTTGTCTATACCTATCTCTCTTCGTGGATTATCTGTGGATTTGCTCACTGATAGACTCAACACTTGGTTTTGGAGTGTGGGTGTGAGTTCCAGGCATATCCTTGAAGGGAAATGTTTTTCCCCTGCTCCTATTCCTCGTCCTCTCAGAAGGGTCTCGTTCACAAGTTTCACAACGTCACATCTGTTAGCAAATTAAATGATTGATGCACGTAAATAGCGATTAGATGATGAAAGTTGAACTGCATGTGAGGTGGTTCCGAACTTCCGGTTTAGTTGTACATGTGTAAGTGAATTTGAGTTAATATGAAAATATAGTAAATAAAGTTGTTAATAATTAATATATAATAAAATGAAGGCATCTATAAACCTATCAAGTCTCACAATTTTAAGTTGAAATTATATCTTAGTTAAAATAATTGATTCTTGAATCTTACCACACTCATCCATTATTGATTCTTGCGATGACAGAAGATTCTTTTAGGGTCTCTTTCCACATACAAGAATTAAATAGGTCCCCCTAATATTTGGTTTAAAAGTGGAGAGAAGAGAGAAAATTTTAATAAATTTTCTTCTTCTTCCACTATACACACACATGAAGAATAAGTATTAAGAGATTACAATGGTTGAGAAAAAGAGAGGGGTCTCATGATGAACCTAAGAGATGAGAACCACCAAAACATCTCTCTATTACTTCGTCTGTATTTTATGTCCATTTCATGCAACAATTTAAATCCCTATTCATCTGCAAAATGGAGAAATTAGAGGCAATTAATTTTTATAACCAAATTATTCTAATTTACTTTTTACTCTTAATGCCTTATCACTTCTTAAATTATCATAGCATGCTCAGTGCTTCTTCTTTGTGTATATATACATGACATTTACTCATTTTAGTCTATATGTTAAATTTTTGTAATGAAATTGGTTTTTCACACAATCAAGTTGACTTTCTTATTTTTATAATAAAAATATTGAATTTACCTTTTTATTGTGACTATAAAGTGAAATTGAAATATGTTTTCAAAAAAAGTGAAATTAATCAAATAATTTTAAAAATGCACTAATGATAAAATTTATCGTGAATGATATATAATAAGCATAAGCGAAAACTACCTACTGACATTTTTAAAATAAGAAAATGGAAAATTATAATATAAATCTTTCTTTAAATAAATCTAAAACTTAAATTTGATAAGGTTATATATATAATATTCTATTTATTATTTTTCCTTATTTTCTCCCCCTTTTTCTACCCTCTCACTCATGCCTCATGTCGTTGTTGTGTCAAACAGACGTAAGGATATTATGGGAGTTTATTGGGGAAAAAAAAATGCTTCATATCAAATTACTACACGCTTGCTATAACAAGATTAATTAGCTCCTACCAATTGCAGTCGTGCAAGAAAGAATTTATGTTGCGATAATTATAAACAAATTAATTGCCCAATTACAACATTTTACTTAAGAATTAAGGGCTGTCTGTAAGCTCTAATGTGATTTTCTCTAATTTTATTTTTCTCTTTTCTTTAAGTAGTCATTAATTTTTACATAAAATAAGAGATACTTTGATTTCGTAAACTTTTGAAATGATAGAATTTTGTATCTTTTATAATTTTTTGAAGATACAAGTGTGTTGGCCCCAAAAAAAAAGATAAAAGTGTGTAATTTTAACATTTTTCTTTAGAAAATTGCAAAAAATACAAAACTCAACCATTTTGAAATTTCAAATATATCAAAATGTTTTTCCAAAGAAAAAAAAAGGAAATTGAGAAGGCATTCAAGACATTATAAAAGGCACCAAGATACATTAGAGGCCCCTATCCAAGAATTATTAATTAATTATGAAAATAATATTAATTAATTACCTTATGTTGTCAATGCTAACCACGATGTCAACCCACTTCTCTTGAACTGTAACCTTGTAATTGAACTGAAGAACACCTTCAAGCTGGTGGTATCTGAGAGAGAATTGAAGCCTCTCATCAGCACCATGGTTATTAGAATTCTCTACGTCCATGGCTATGACAGGGCAGTACAGCTGAACTTTCCACAACCCAAAAGTTGAAAAAGCACAAGAGAACAACGGACAAGGTGTTCTGCAGCTACTCTGATTCACTGTTCTCAGCTCCACCACGCAGTTTGTGATCGCCAGATTCACAGAACGCATCCACAGCTCTTCCAAGTTTGATCCCAATAGCTTCATCAGAAGTTTCGACGCTTCTCTCGATTGATCAGAAACTGCCAAGTGGTTCTTAATCGTGCTAACGCATCCAATACGTAAATCTTCTGGAGCTTCATATATAATAACCAGGAACAAGAGGGTGAGAAATGCAAGGTTGAATATGTCTGGGAGGTCGGAAATGGAATCCAGTTTGGGAAACTTCAAGGAAGGGCTGTTTTTGTTAGAACCGTAATGAAGGATGGCTTCAATGAAGTTGACAAGAACATGGGAGGTAGTTGATTCGTCCAATAGCTTGATGGATTTAGTATGAGAGCTGGGCTTGAATCGTTTAGAGGTCCAGAGAGTTACAGGGATCTTGAAGTCTGCGATAATGGCGAAAAAGAGTTTTGAAGATTGGAGACTTCTGGCTATGGTGAGATTAAGAGAAGGCTGGGACGAACTTGAAGAACATAAGCATAAGGTCATGGAACCTGAGGCTGGACTCCATTCTGAGACTGGAGGAAGGTTCTGAATCCAGAAAAATACATCAGGAAAGGTAAAGACAGCCATGTTTTATTGAATGAATGGAAGCTCTTTTGATCGTTTCTTTGGCGTCTAATTACTCTTCCCTTATAAATGCAGGATCATGTCAGAAAATGTGGTTAGTTGGGTCAGGGAAAAGTGAGAAGTAAAGATGGTTATGTCGTACAAGATAACTATATTTTTCCATCACATCCGATGTGAAAAGTTTCAAACTAGCTTAGTGGCTTGCATAAATAAACCAATATACCAGAACTGAGTGAAACATGCAATTTCTTTTACTGGCAGAAGTTGTGGTGTAGATACTTCACTGACAGAAATAAGATTCATAATTGGAAGGAGGGGAAAAACATTTGATGATCTAAGGAAGTTGAAGGAAAACGCATCCATGCATATATGGCAACACTGTTTCATGCAACCACGTGAAGAGAAAAAGTCATCATCCTCAACATATATATTAAAAGATTAGAAACCTTAACTTTTCACGTGCTTTTATGTTTTTTCAGCTTTGCTGTTTTCTATAACCAACATACAAGTCAATTATAATTAATCAAATTATATTTAATCACATTGATATATTAAATGAAAATATTTAATCCAGTTTAATAAATTAATGATGTCAATTAAATTTTCCTTAAGCGAAGATAACAATGTGCCTTCCCAGTTTGCTCGTGAAAGAACTTTCAGATCAATTAATTATAAGCAATACAAGTATATGGATTAATTATTTATAGCTTTGCTTGCGTAGGGCTTGAGGAATCCAAACTCGACAAAAACTTTGGAGATGTTTATGATACTTACATCTTTCTGATTTGACCATCTAGATCAAATATAACAGTCCATGTTAAATAGGGTCAATTTAGATTTCATTAATTGTTTCTCATTCATTATATGACAAATTAATAAACTACTTAAATTTAATTTAAGCAATTCAAATATAATATAGTTAGTACACTCTTAATAAATATATGTGCTAGGGCAATCCAATTCTAGGATAACAGCAAATACCAATATTCGTGTGTGAAAGTATGATGTGCTATTAATTATTAGTGTAAACTATTAGTTAAAGTTGTTTTCATCTTTTTTAAGTTTAGGAAGGAATGAACCTATAACAACTGCATAAATCTCACCCTATCCTTTCCATATGAATTTGAATTAGTCAGCTATTACAATTATTTTTTTACTGAAGACTTTTCTCATGAAGTTTCAGGGATTTGAATTCTGGCTTGCCTGAAAGACTAACGCTTTTCATTAAATCCAATTCCGTTGATGTCTGGCTGTAATTTTTTAACTCCGCATTTTACAGTTACTTTTCGTGAAAAGTAAGCAAGAGTTGTCACATTTCTTGACTTACCACTTTTTATTTATTATCTCCCAAAAAAGGTGATACAATTTTTATTGCTTCCAAAACTTTATTTTCGTTACTTCTCATGAAGTTTAACTATAAACGGGAAGAGAAAGATTCAAGGGAAATTCCAAACGAATTTCAGTCGTGTATGAGAAACTATGTTCCGTTTGAGTCCTAGAATATGAACATTATATTCATAACATAATGTGTATGAGTGAATAAATTGACACGATGTTCCCGTACCTAGAATGTGAGTCATACAATCTTATCACATAGAAATTCGATTTTGTCCAATCAGGACAGAAAGAATTGGATGAGTTTGGTGGTTGATGAACGTCTAAAATATTGACAGTTGTTGGCTGGCTACACGTAAATGGCCAGATCAATTAGCCCATGAGTGCAGTGACAAAAACCACCACTCTTTCGTAGAAAAAGGGATTAGATGAACTTATCCATCAAACTAGCCTGAAGTTTCTGAACTTTGGGTAACACGCTGACGAAAAGCCTTCGTTCAAAAAGCTAGAAAAAAAAAGGGAGAATTTTAATAAAGATTCATTCATCACATTTATTTAAATTTAAAATATTTAAATTTTTGAAATTATATTACAGTTCAGGGGTAATTATTTTAATATTAAATTTTTTAAAGAAATAATAAAATTGACTCTCATGTAAATTAATATCAGAAATTCACGTGACTTGTTTTAAGTTAAGGTATTTAAATCATTTTAAAATAACATGCTAATTCATATACTGTATGTTATTCATTTACTTACGAAATGTTATTATTTTCCTTACTTCACTTGTTCATTACAAGTAAAGTAAGGCAATTAACAAGAAAAGTATGACAGTTTTGATATTAATTTAAATAAATGACAATTTTATCATTTTTAAAAAAATTTAATATTAAATTAATACCCTTAGACTGCAATGAAAATTTAAAAATTTATAGACTTTGAATTTAAGCAAATATAATGAAGGGATCTTTATTGAAATTCTTTCAAAAAAAAAAAAAAACCATCAAGCCTTACTCTCAACTCTTAAGCACTCTGGAAAACATAAGGCCTTACTCCCAAGCACATTTTTTAACATGTTTGATTGTGAGTTGCAATATAATTACTTAGGAGTTAAGGTTTAATTTTACTTTTATACTTATTTTTTAAGAAAATTGAGCATCCTATACTCTTAAATGGGGCATATTTATCCCAAATTATTTTTTAAGGAGCAAAAAAACTTTTCTATTAATGAACCATTAACTCTGCCATTATATACTAACATTGTTTGTGCGCAGAACCCATGTATAGTAATATGTAAGACTTTGACTATATTCTTTAGTGCTAATTTGTCACTGAACTTTTTTTTTAAAGAGTGCTAAACATCCTAAAATCTTTTTTCAAAAGCACTAGGTAATATAAAGTCTTGTTAAAATAAAATTTAATAAATATTATTAAAATATTAAGTATTTTAATATTTAATAATTTAAATATTATTGTTTAAAATATTACACCATTCAGTTTAATATTTTAATATATTTAATATTTTATAATTTTATATTAAAAATAAAGAAAATAAATCTCTAAATTAACGAAGGAGTTTTTTCTCCTCATCTCTCCATTTCTTTCTTGTTCAGTAATTTTTTTAATACATTAATAAAATAAGCAATATCTTTTAAATAAATATTTTTGTTATCATTTTGTTAGTCCTGATTGTCATATTTCTGATTTTATTTCTAACACTGTAACGTACAAAAAGTATTAAATTTGAGCAGTGTAATATTTTGGAGGAAAATCACTAGTTGACCCAAAAAAATTAAAGAACTTAACTAATATTAAAAATATAAGTAACCAAGTTTCAACATGCATAAAAAACGTAACAATTTGGGCATTGTCTCATAAAGAAGTTTAAAAATTTATAAAATACTAGTTTGAATTGTTAATATTTAAAATAAATATTTATAAATAATAATATTTTAATTATTAAATATGAAAATATTTATTAATTTTTTAATAAGACTTCAAGGTACTCATTGCTTTTAGAAAAAAACTTTAGAGTGTTCAACGCTCTTGAAAAAAGAGTTCAATGACAAATTAACATCAAATAACATGGTTAGACTTTTACATGTCACTGTGTAGACCTACAGACATGCCACATTAGCATATAACTGCAAAGTTAACTGTTCATTAATAGAGGCAGCTTTTTGCTCCTCGAAAAAATAGTTCAAGAGTAAAATTATTCCATTTAAAAATATAGAGTATTTAGCACTTCTAAAAATAAGTACAAAAAAAATTGTACTTTAACTCTATAAAAAAAAATCTTTTCTTAGATGGGAAATGAAAGATTGATTTATCGCTCAATTGAATACATGGCCACAGAATCTGCTGTGTTTTGTGATAAAACGCGAACACAGAATCTAATTATCAATTTGAATAACTTTTGGAATAAATTTTAAAAGTAAAATTCATGGTTTTACAAAAATATATTTAAAAATTCCTATTACATATTAGAATTAATTATGAATCCATGGTCATGATTTTTTAAAAATATCTAACCACCATTATATGTGCCAAAATCAATCATGAATCCAAAATTATAATTTCTTAAAAAATATGCAAACACTTCTATACATATTTAAATCAATTTTGGACCCAAAAATATGATTTGTAAAATAATTTATATGATTTTTCGATAATTTTTTAGAAAAGTATAATTAAAAAGTTGAATTTAAAAATAAATAATAGTAACTTATGAGATAACTGTGATCATGAATTTATAATTGATTTTGATATGTATTATGCTACTAGGAAAAATCAATTCATCTATCGATATAATCTTTAATCGAGCTTTTCCCTAGCTTAAACTTTTTTAAAATTACTCCCCGTAAAATTAGTCCGTTAGTTTTCATCTCTCAATATTTAAAAGTCCTTCATCCATATCTAGTTACTTTCATCTCATTTAATATTAGAGAGTAGAAGTCCACATTTAAAAATAAAGCAAAAGCATGAGCTAAGGAGTTGTGCCAATTTGACCAAATTTTTTGAATTTAAGTTTGAAGAATGCAACATCATTAATGATAAAGTTTCCGCATGAAAGGATCTCATCCTAATTCGATTCAGATTAGTTTGATACCACAATAAGTTTAAATTCAAAATACAATTTCACAAAAAAAGCTAAAGGGGTGTGTGCGAGCGCTCATGGCAACAGTAACCAAATTGATTTAGGTTGTTTTGGTGATGCACACACTAAAGATGAAATGGTATTAATGAGAAAGTTAATATGTAATTTGAATCTCAAACTATAAGTTCACAAGTAATTTGAACCATAAACTCATATTTGATACATTCGAAAATATAAGCAATTAAACTTGGGATAATTTTCCTCCATTGTTAAATATAAATAAATGTCCTTCTTTTTTAAAAAATAGGATTTGATGTGTAATTTTTCTCAAATGAGAGTAGGAGAGAGTGAGAGTGAAATTTGAGGCAAATTGCACACTAGGCCTCATTTTTTTAAAAAAAGTAATAGACGTTTGTTTTAATTTAATAATGGAGGTGAAATTGCCTGAAATTTATTTTTTTTAAGGTTCATAATGTACTAAATATAAATTTAAGGTTCAAATTACCCCTAAACAAAGAGTTCAAAGTTTCAGTTGCATATTAACCCTTAATAAAATAAAATA